CCTTGGAAAGCCGCTAGAAAGGGAGCTGACCTGCTCCGAAGTGGGTTAGGTGCTAATCGGCCTAGGGGATTGCAGGCGATTGGCTTACTTGGTTTACGGACTACTTGATTTTTCCTCAATGGTCCTGCCGCGATGGCTAGAGCACAGACGATTAGAGAACGGGTGAATGCCCTAGGACTAAGCCTTGGAGAGGAGAGGGACCCGCGAGAGAGCGCAGAGGCGGTTTAAAGGGCTGAGTTCAAGTAGTCCGTCGACCGGCGACTGGCAACCACGCCCACTTCGAAGCTGTTCAGCTCCCTTTCTAGCGGCTTTCCAAGGTGAGTTTTTTGTTCAGTCACACTTCTTATGTTCTTGACTAGGGCTAGCGCATCGTTCCACACCATTAGTGTCGAAGGTAAAAACCCTGCTGGGACTGTTGCTTTAATCATTTCCTTTACTTTCGTGGAAAATCTGCCATTATCTATTCTGAAACCACTTCAATTGATTTTTTGACTTTTGTTTCACATAACGTTTTAGATCGAAAAAGGGCGACCAGGTGAGATAATGGATTTGATTTGGTTGGAAATCCTTATCGCAATGATTGGTGAACAGTTCGGCGAGGACATGGAGCTCATTTGTGGCTTAGTTTGTAACGTTCGTGGCAAAGGAAGCAAGGTATCTGCTAGATTTCTCACCACAAGCATCCAGACAGTTTGTAATTTTTCTTGGATTTAGATCAGTATGTGGACAAAAGACTGGAGTGCAGAGGAAGGAAACATGAGGATTGGGTGAGTACTGTATTTTCCTCGCGAATCACGCATATTAAGCGGGTTGGTTTCCTTAAAGAATGGTCAAAAACCGATTTTGTTCGCTTCTGTTTCTCCCAATGCAGGATGTTTAGACAAGTTCTGAAGAATAAACTTCTCGGGGCAGAAGTTCCTGCTGGTTGCACGACCCCGCTGTTTGACTGGTTAAAGTACGAGGATCACGACAGTTGTCAGAAAAAGAGCGGAAGTACTGTCAAGGTATGGTTTCATGTGTGATTTTGTTTTCGAATATCTTTAGCAGTAGCTCTCTTCATTTGCAAACAGGAACATTTTCTTCACCTGACGTTTGTGTTGTGCCTAAACGTCCGCCCTGTCCCTAATGTGTCGTTCCAAACTTTCCAGTTTCTATTAATGCATGGAAGGCTGTATTTTATATTACCCAAAATGCCCTTACAAAATTCAATTTTTCGTGCAGCTGCGTTTTTACCCAGCCTCATTTCAGGCAAAGTTATCGATATCAGCTGTGAATCAAATGCCAGAGAGGAACTGAACTAGTCTTCGAAATCGTTTTTTGATATGCTATGAGATTATGACATAAGATGTTCAGATATGCTAATGTTGTTGATTTTAACTAATTTTTTGAAACTATTTGGTTTGAAGGACATTTTTTTTTCTTTTG